GTGAGGAGGTCACATGGTGAGGAGGTCACATGGTGAGGAGGTCAACCGGTGAGGAGGTCAACCGGTGAGGAGGTCGCATGGTGAGGAGGTCACATGGTGAGGAGGTCACCCAGTGAGGGGGTCACCCAGTGAGGGGGTCAACTGGTGAGGAGGTCACCTGGTGAGGAGGTCAACCGGTGAGGAGGTCACTCGGTGAGGAGGTCACCCGGTGAGGAGGTCACCCGGTCAGGAGGTCAACCAATGAGGAGGTCACCCCTCTTCAGTCTCTGAGGTGTCTGTCCTCTGATCCTCAGCTGGTCTTTTAAAAGAAATCCAGCATCATATAAAGTGAAACACTGGTTCTGATCCAGCTGAACCTGCTTCAGCAGCAGAACTCTCAGTGGGGTTCTGTACCCGTCTCTCTCCTGGTTCCGGAGCAGTTCTGGCCCACTCTGCTTTACATCTTTGCTTCAGTTCATTGAGCTCAGCTCTCTGAAGGTCCACCACAGCATCAGTCAGACTGAGGTTCTGTTGTTTCGGACCCGTTCTGTTGTGGAGCAGCTGCTGTGTTCTGGAGCATGGTTCTGTTGGACCCAGTTCGGTCCAAGTTTCAGCTCTTGGACTCTAGAACCCTTTGGTCTACAGAGGAGTTCTGGTCCACTTAGGGAGCCCAAACCATCAGCCCTGCACCACCTGCTGACAGCTGGGAGGAGCTGTCTGCTGCAGTGCATTCTGGGTAAACGCCTGTCCTCTGGTCTGGTTCTGGTCCAGAAGTCTTGTGGTTCAGATGAAACCTTCCAAACCAGCTGCTGAATTTTCTGTCACTCGTGGAAGATCAGCTGTGTCACATGTATTGTTCTGGTGAACAATCGTTCCCTCTGTGGCATGATGGACTGAAATGATCTTTGGCCCAGACTGATGAGCAGGAACAGCTACTTCTCAAAGGTCATTGCTGAGGCTTTCCACCTTGGCATCGTGCTAACACACAGCTGTATGCTGATGATCAGCGAGTCCATCTGATGCCTCCGCTCCTCAGTAAATCAAACTCTGACTCTGTGTAACGCGAGTTGTGCGAGGAGCGTTTGGAGGCACGGTACCTGCAGCTGCCGGTTGTTCTCCCTGACGGCCTCCAGGAGGGAGTCGTACTGCCGGGCCTGGTCCGCTTTGAAACTCAGATCTCTCTCCAAAGACTCCTTCTCGCTCTCCAGACGCTGCGAGCACAAGCACAGCGTCACGTTAGCAGACACTTATCACAGTTTCTGTTCATGACGTCAGAGCAGATGTCCAGATGTTCAGCTGCACGGGGCTCCTTAAAGAACCCCTGAAGCCTGCTGAGCTCTGCAGACCTGCTGGGGTGCTCAGATTATCTCTGCAGACCAGTTCTGTGTTTAGATCTTACCCGCAGGTCTTCAGACATCTGCATGAGCTCCTCTCTCAGGCTGCTGAAGGTGGAGAGCAGCAGGCGCATGCTTTTATCTGCAGTGAGGCGAGTCTGCAACACAAACACACGCAGACGTGAGGACGGGGTCACGTCACACATTTCACTAAATAAAACGGCTCAACTTGAGAAATATCCCATAATATTATGTGTTAAATAACATTTTACTGCACACTCCATGACTCTTTATTCGACTCGGTCGTTGTGATGGTTTGTTGGAGAAGGACGGGGCCAGAAGCACAGAAGCTTACCACGCTCCCTGCTCTCCCTGGACTCGGACCGGCTCGGTTGGTTCTGATAGACACTAAGCTGAGGCAGAGGGAGGGGTGACGAGTTTCTATGAAACCAACTTTATCATGTCAGGAAGTCAGGGAAGATCTGAGCTCCTGGCATGAATGAGTTCTGGATTGATGCATCGACTCTGTGGGTCCGGCTGGTCTCCACAGCTTTGGAATAAATGTGAACTTCATTAACGGTGAAGATGTCGAGGAGGTGCATCAGTATAAACATCTGGGAACTGTTCTCCATGACAAACTGACCTTTGACCCCATGTGAGCTCACTTTGTAAGAAGGACCACCAGAGAACGTGTTTTTATCAGAAGCTGTGGTTTTAATGTTGATTTGACTTTTATGAGAACGTTTTATTGAGTCTCTTCACCTTCATCTGCTGGTTTGGACTTTAGAAACAGGAACAAACTCTCAGGGATTGTCAGGATGAGCAGCAAAACTGCTGGTATAGACCTACAGAACCTCTCTGACCTACAGAACCTCTCTGACCTACAGAA